TCTTTTATTAAAAATTGATTCTTTCCTCATACAATATATCTTGATTACAGTTTCCCCTGTCTCTACTCCTTCCAGGTTCTCCCCAATTCTCCTTCTATCCAGATCCTTTCCCACTGAAAAGAATGGGCTTCTAAAGGATAACAATTAAACATGATAAAATAAAATATAATAAGGTAAAACAAAAATAATTAAGTCAAAGTTGGACAAAGGCAAACTAATAAAAGGAAAAAATCCTTAGAGAGGACCATAGATTTAAGACCCACTGGTTCCCACACTCAGGAGTCCCATAAAACACTAAACCGAAAGCTGTCATCTATACAAAGACGACCTGGTTCAGACCAGAGTGGGCCCTGTGCTTGCTGCTCCTGTTTCTGTGAGTTCATATGAGCTTTGCTCAGTTGATTTAGAGGGCCTTGTTCTCCTGGCGTTTTCTGTTCCCTCTGACTCACACACTTTTTTGCCTCTTCTTACACCATATTCCTGAGCTCTGAATGGAAACATCTCATTTAGAGTCATTTCAACGTCTGCCTGTTTGTGTGTAATGTCTGGATATGGGTCTCTCTATTTTTTTCCATCTGCTGCAGGAGGAAGCTTCTCTAAAGAAGGCTGAAGAAGATACTGGTCTAAGAGTATAGCAGAATAAAAAATGACAACTAAGCTATAATCTGTAGACCCAGAGAGGTTAGGTATAGAGGAAGAGACAGGGGCAACACATGGATCTCCCTGGGAGGAGGAAATAGATTTCATGAGTGAACTGGGGATGGGAAAAAAAGAATCAGGTTAGGGAGAAAGAGGAGATGGGGTTGAGAAGGGAAATTCAGAGAAAGTCAGAGCAGAGGGGCATTTGAGGAGTGATGTGAAAACCTAGTGTAATGAAAACTTCCTAAAATATATAAAGTGATCCCAATGACGTCTCCAGATAATGAGGGAGATGGAGTCCCAACTAGCCATCTTGACACCTGAAATGAAGCTTCCAGTATCAGGACTGGGTTACATCCAATTGAATTGTTTGCTAAAGGGTTCTCATGGAAATCCCCAAACAACCCAGGCTGTTGACAAGACAATAGGTTGCTCTCCATGAACTGACAGCAAGGCCCCATTGCTGAAGACAATGCCCACAAAACTCTCTGAACATGGAGAGGACGAGCTGGTGCCAACATAGATCATTCACTCTTATGTTCTAATGTCTTTGGTGTGGAAAGGTACTTCCCATTCTAACAAAAAAAAAGAAGAGTAAACACCAACCCAAACACAAAATCTTTGATTTCCAGATGCATCCAGTCTTGGTTAGACTCTGTTTGAAATATGATTGAGGTTAGATTCTGAGTTAAAGCAAGTGTGTTTGTACTTTTAAATGTATGGAATTGTTCAAATCTTAGCCCTTATTAGTAATTTGTCTTTATCATTATACTTTGTAACTACAAATATTTACCTTTAACATGAGACAACATTTAACATATAATATATAGACTTTAAATATTTTGTAATTAATACGTCATGTTTTTTGAAATATCTATGGTATTTTGAGTTTTAAATAATTTGAAAATTATACTGTTTAATTATATAATACAAATATATCAGTGGAATATTTTATCCAAAGCCAAATGTCAACAATGTGTGCAAAAGTAAACTATGAAAATTTCTTTTAAAAATTCTATATTTACACTAAAAATTACTTAAAGTAACACTTCCAGTAGAAAGAGAAACAAGATGAACTATGCATCTTGTAGCCATGGAGATACATGCTAGCAATGCATTTAGGGTATTTCACTACTGTGAGTTATCTTAGTGAACTTAGATTCCTGGCATAAGCTAAAGAACCCAGGCTATAAATCTACATAGCATCTTACTCTACCGAGGGCTGTGGTTAACTGTACACAGTCGATTAGGTGTATAGAAACATTTACATATAGAAAAAGTACATTGTAAATACTAGGCAATAAGACTGTCATCAGCACACATGCACATTGCCCACTGTTGACCAAATGAAAATGAAGGCACTGTTACTGTGTATCAGTTAGTGATAAAATGTTATATAAAAGATGTGTTTATCAGATGCATTTTAGAGGTTTTAAAGTCAGGGGAAATGTTGTTTTGAATGTGTATGTGAGTGCATGTTTGTAGGTGTGTGTGTATGCACTTGGGATGATATCTGTATGTACATGGAGAGGCCAGAAGTTGACAGCACGTGTTTTCTAGGTCATTCTGGGCTTCATTTACTGAGGTTGAGCCTTTCATTGAGTCTGGAGTTCACCAACTGAACAAGTCTAGCTATTCAGCTTGTCCATGGACCCCTCCCAATCTTTTGCATTGGGACTGCAGGCATACTACTACACCCTTCTGGTTTTCATGTGGATGGCGGGGATCTAAACTCCATCACTCACAGTGTTGTGCAGTAAGTGTTTTATTCATTCTCCTTGGGCCCTGAGAAATACTTTTAATAAATTATCATCTAAATTCCTGATTATGATTTCTAAAGGGAAGAGTGCATTTGGATGAAGAAACCTTGAGTATAGTGACAAAAAGTCAACAATATAGCGTTTGTACAAAATTATTTAATGTTCATTTATTAATCAAAAATGTTAGAGTAATATTTATTTGTAAAATTCTCTGTATATAAAAGTTAATAAATTGATTTGTTTATAATTTCATCACTTTTTAAAAATATACCAGAACCAAACTGAAATTATAATTTTTAAAACAATCCCACATTAATCATGAGTTTAGCTGATATAAAGCAATGATTCTACTTTAAACCCTTTAACTAAAGGCACAGTAAGAGTCAACAGATATTAATAAAACAAAATTATCTGTTTCATAATAGTGGCACAGAGATGGTTCTTGAGTAAAGTGGAACTGAATGCACCCACAATTCAGCCCTTGTCTGTATTTGTTCACAAACAAAGATTGACAACATGTGCCCACACTTCAGCACACTGCGGTAGGGTTGGGCTATGCCTTCAGAGTAGGAGGATATAAACACACTAGGCTAAGTATCTCCGGGGCTATTATACCACCTGCCAAGAACCACTTGGGAATCGTACTCAGTCCTTGTGTTTCTGCTTAGAAACGAAAGCCTCTGTAGAGGGAGAAATTTATTGTCAAAGTTTAATATCAAAACACATCTAAGTAACAGCTTTCCACCAGTATTAAAATGGGAAGTAAAGAGATAAGAGGTATTATTGAAATTATATCCACCAAACCTGGGCAATATCTAGTGAAAGCTGTAACAACATATATATATTTAAGTGTTTTCTCAGTCTTAATTGTGGGGACTTTCTCAGTGAAGACACTTTGGAAAGCTATATACACACTCAGACATAAGGGAGATAATCAAAGAAAAGGGGTAAGGAAAATAAATCTGCCATGCAAAAGCTTAAATTATCTATCAGGCAGATGGGATAAAGAAGAGCCCAGGGACAATTTAACAGGATGTTTCTACAAGTTAACCACGCTGTCAGAAATTCTGTTGCAGTCCTGTGCCGCTAAACTTTTGCACATGAACCTCTGGTCTAATTAAAAGGAGATATGCATTTTAAAAGCCTGTTTATGAGTTAACGTTTCGACGAATGGGCTCCTTGCTCATGATGAGAAAATGGTCGTTATCAGCCTCCTATTTTCCTATTATCATTAGTGTGGATGCTTTCAAGGTCAGCACGCTTACACTTCTGAGAAAATCACACCAGAACCGCAAACTTGGCAATTTCCTCAATTACAATAGGAGGTTATAAAGCTACTGTAATGATGTGAAACATCTATTCTGCAGCCTTATTTATAAAATATTATTCCTCTAGAGGTACCAGCATATTTCTGCAGTTTATAATGAGAGAATGAGCAAAAGAGCGAGGCGATTATTAACATTTCCAAAGCAGGTTCTCAAAACCCAAAGCAGCTAAGAAGCAACGAGGCAGAGAATGCTGGACTAACTCACGCACTGTGCTGAAATTCAGCCTCCAGCATTTGGTGCCAAGCACATCTTGAAAAGCACAGTAACTTCTGTGAAGTGCAGTTTTATTTAAGTGGATGTTCTTGCTACGACTTACTACCGAGCTCCTTTCCCCACCTCCCTCCCTCCCTCTGCAGAGTCAGTCTTTGCTTCGAAGAAGCCCAAATGTTACAACTCACTCTGGTTCCCTCTCCTTTGTTCTCACTGTCAGAGGCCAACAACGAGACCAAAATGGGACAAAGCGATTAAAACTGGCCCTGCCCAAGTTCCTCAGAATCGCTTCTCCCCTACTTCTTCTACCTTTGCCTACTCTAACCATTTAATCCCAATATGCCCTTGTTGTCTGGTGAAAGTCAATTAAACTTTTGCTGGTGGATTCCGGGTTAGGAAGTAAATGCTTTCTTCAGTTCTAACAGGGCAGGTATTGAACAAGTTGGACAGAATGCTAATGTCATGCAGAAACGTTATAATGTAGAGCCACTATTTATTAGCTATGTGACTAGGAACATTATCTCAGTCTCACATCTCAACTGAAATCTCAATAATTTGTAAATAACAATGGCGATATTATCATAAACACATGACAGAACATGTTTGTAAGGCCGGACCTGGTTACGGTTATGTGCTCAGGAAATATGAGGTGTTCCATTCAATAGTCTCTCCTACCAGGATTCTTCTAAGGTAAATTATTTCTGCACCATAAGTGTTGATATTTGATAGTATCAAATGAATTTGCATCTTAAAAACAACACAGTGTTCTGCTTAGTACTCCTGAAAATATTAAAAAAGATAATTTGAAGCTGGGTGGTGGAGGCACATATCTTTAATCTCAACACCTGGGAGGCAGGGGCAGGCGGATCTCTGTGAGTTCAAGGCCAACCTGGTCTACAAAGCAAGTTCTAAGACAGCCAGTATTGTTAGCCAGAGAAACCTTGTTTCAAAATATTAAAATATTGCTCCCACAAGATTTGGCAGAATCTTACAGCTTTGGAAGGTTTTTATAGATGGAAAGGGAGGATTCCTATATTGTGTTCACTTACTTTAAATTTTACTTACAGCATGGCTATAGAAAATGGACAGCTGATGAAAAAGTGCAAAGCAGAACACTGCACAGTTATTGAAAGTTAGAAAATAAAGCCTGCATGTGTATCTGTAGTATACAAGGCCGATGCTTAAGGCTGATGTATCCAAGTACAAACACACCTCGGGCTCAATAAAACACGCTGGCCTACATAACTCAAATAACACTCTTTTTTGTGCAATGCTGCATAGTAAGGATATTGAAACAATAAAATATATCAATTTATTCTACAGAATTGATCAACAAAAAAGACTTTGTTCTGTTTTCTTATATTTCTGAAAAAAATGAAAACAAAATTGTAATTACATCACAAAGCACCAGTGGCAAGTAATAGGAAGTATTTTTAAGTGATGACTTTGGAAAAAATGATCAAAAATCTAAATGCAGTCTCCTCCCTGAAATTTCTTCTAATTAAATACTTAAGATTTTTAGTAGGTAGAAAACAATGAATCCCATCTCTTTATTTTTAATGCTATCACCATTTACAAACAACCTTTTAATATATTTACTGGAATAGTCCCTTGTCTGCTAACCAAGTACAATTAATTTTACCACAAAACATTAACTTTTCTTTACACTACTACATAGCTCCCCAATTCTAATACAGAACACTCACGGTATGGCACAGAAATCTGTGCAGTGTTATTTGGATAAATATTACAGCCACATTCATTTTATATTTCAATTGCAATTGGAAATGAAAGTATTTCATTTGCTTTTGTGGATGAAGTTTCCAAACTTCTGCATAAATCCTCGGAACCTGTTTTCATTGGGGGAGTATGTATGATAAGCACCAGTCTTGTAATTCAGCATCGGACTGGACCTGCCATAACTGCTGCCCATTGCTGTGGCTTTGACTTCTGGGCGGTTGGCATGGGTATTTGTCAGGCTGTTCGCTGACTGAATTGAGCTTTCAAGCTTACAAAATGGCTCAAATCGACTGTAAACTCTCTGGTTGGTTGAATGAGATCTCAGGAGCTCGTGGGACTTTACTATCGAAGAAGAGATTGGCCGTCTTTGAGGGGCAGTGACTGCGCTGATCTCCTTCGAATCACGATATTGGATCTGTTCAGTGTTAAATCTTGGGGCAGAGGCATCTCCTGCTCTCTCTGAAAGTCTCCTCTCAACAGGTCTGGGAGAAGGTGCTATTCTCCTACTTTCCTCTACGTAGGAATTTACCCCTGAAGATGCGCTAGCTGCTATGTCCTCCTTGCTCTTGTGGACACTGCCTTGAGAATTTGATGAGGAGGAACGCTTTCTTCTAGGAGATGAATCAACTCTGGGCTCGGATTTTTTGGGCTTCTGATTCTCTTCACCCTCAGAAACCAAAGTGTCAGAACTACTACACATTCTATAAAACGCGGGTGCCTTGTTCTTGGATAGATTTTCTCTCTTGTCCGGAGTGAGACTAAGTAAGGATCTTAACTTCTGAGACCCCTTTTTCAAAAAACTTGGGGAGCCTTTAACTTCTTTCTTAGAAGCTAGTTCTTTGTTGGGGTCCTCTTTATTCACATCAAGCAAAGCAGCAATGGAAATAGATTTGGTGGCCGAGCCACTTGGAGGGTCTCTCTTGATAGCCTCTTCTTCCTCTTCATCCGTGCTGTGGGTCACATTATGCATGCTCTTAGAACTCTTCAGCACATCCTCCTTGGGTTTTTCCGGCTGTCTAATCCGATTTCTGGTAAGGGTACTATACACATAATTCTTGCTATGGCCGTGCTCTAAATTGACTTTTGAGTGATCAAAGGAGGGGAAACTTCGCCTTTTGAGCAGATTCTCACTTTGCTGGCTTTTTGCGTTCTCTGTCTGCTTATTTACACACAGGCTTGTATATATACTGTTGTTTAATTCTGCTCGGCCATTCATTGCTCGATTTAAGATCTCTGGTTGCTTTTCAGGAACCTGCAAGCTGTGCATTTTTGGTACCTCTGACTGTGTTGGGAGCTTGGGGATTGACTCGGGCAAGGGTTTTTCTGTCACGGAAAGTACATTTGTGGACCTCTCTTGGACCTCACTATGTGTATCACTTCCTTGAGAGCCAATGATGGTGGAATTTGAGGAGCCAGTTGTACAGCTGCTGACTTCTTTTTGTTCAGGTAAAGTTGGTTTAAACGCCAATGAGGAACGCAGCCTCGAATGAGTATAGGCTGCATTGGCTTTCATGTTTTCCGCACTATCGTAACCTTCGAATCTGTCACCCAGGGTGGAGCCATCTGATTCAGGTGGGGCTTCTGAATTATCATTTAAGTAGGAGTCAATCCTCCAGGTGCGCAGGAAAGACTTTGTGGTGCTCTCCAGAGTCGGCATCCGTTGTTGTAAAGAGCGGATATGATTATCTGTCCCATTAAATGACCTCCGCACATTTGAATTCCTTTCTGCAAGATTGGTTGTTTTTCTCTGGGCAAGTCGATCAGCAAAACTCTGTGCAGGTATATTTTTCTGGCTTGTCTGGCCTCCCCGTAATGAGGATGCCACACTGAGACTGTCTGAAGACCTTCTCCACTGTCCAGGCGCATTATTAGTCCGATTCAGAGCTCTGTTGAGCAGCTGGTATGGCGTTGTGTCTGAGAGTTCCCCAGCGTAACTATGCCTTTTCCAGTTTTCATTGATCTGATTGGGTTGAAAGTGTCGAATTGAATTTGGGCCATTGAAATTTGGAACAAAATGAGGCTTGTATCCATGATTTCTAATGCTCTGTTTGTCATGTTCGTTTAGGGCATACATCCCTCTGCCTTTGTAGTAACTAGGGTCTATTTTATGAATTTGGTCTTGTCTACTAAAAAGATTTCTCTGGCTGGAAACAGAAGCTAATGAAGAAATGGATCGCTGGTAAATGCCATTCTCCCACAGAGCTTTGCCTGGCTTCACCCTTGCTGATTCTTCCTGAGCAAAACAGCTTGGGACACAGGACCTGGCATAGAGTGTTCGAAATTCTTCATCAAATAACTCTACAAGGTGTCCTGTGATGACCTGTACCATGCTGAGATGAACTTTTTCAAATGACCACATGTAGCTGAAAACAAAAGAAAACAGGAAGCTTAATTTTGGTCAAGGATTAATGACACTATACAGTTTCAGTGCAAATGTCATTTTAAAATGACAGAAGAATTCTTATTTTGCTTGGTTAGCATAATTTAGAATAGTTTTATAATTATGTACTACTAATAAATACATATACATCTTTTTAAGTAACAGGGCAACTTGACATGTGGTTTTAAGTCCCTTTAAAAATTTGTATACTATTTTCCAAAAGCAGAAAGGAAAGTGGTTGTATATTTTGCATCTACATCTATCAAAATGCTATGGAGTTAAAAAAATTATAATTTGCATATTCCAACCCAGTGGGTGTGGGAAAACCCAGGATTAGAGAGAAACATAAGAGATTTGGATATAAAGCTGTAGCCACATGATGCGGGGTCTACCTTCCTCAAGTTTACACTGAAGACATGGATAGCACCATTGTGGCAATGCCCTGACATGCCATAAAGCACAGAATATCTGTGCTAATGCATGCAGTTTGAGCATCAATTCTTTCTGGCTCTTATCTCTGTGAGTTATTCATTGATTCATTGTAATCTGGGAAGCAGAGAGCTATAAATAGAGCAACTGTGGGCAGCTGCCTCAGTCGTTGATGGACAGACTTCACTGTATTTAGTCCACACAGGATTACAATGTTCCCCATAGAACATGCCACTTAAAATGCCATCCAGGATTTCTGAAGAAAGTTTACAACTTCTGTGAAATTAAAGTCTACAATGATTTCATCATACTTTATACAACTTTAAATCCTTTTTCCTACATAGTTTTGAAGTGAGGGAAATCTTGAAATTTCATATCAGCTTTTGAATTTGGGCTCTAAGAACCTAAGTTAAATAGAGTCACAATTTAAATATTTAAAACTAAATTGCTAATATTATTTATATCAAAGGATGTATATAACAAGTTTATTGAAAAACAAAGTGAGATAAACACTCTATATTGAATGAATATAATATTTATAAAGGTAGTAGTATTTACATAGGGAATATAATATTTACATAGGGAAAACAAATACAAATATAAATATTTCCTAAATGCACTGAGTAAAAATTAATAAAATATTACAAACATCACTCTATACATTGGAGATTTGTCATTTTGAGATGCTCAAACTTGTGTGTTACTTCCCATGAATTCATAGTATGAGAGGAATATTTACTAGGTATTCTTTATGCGAATGTGTGAGCCAGCAGGATGACTTAAGATTAATGAAATGGAAATCAACAGTTAAAAAAAAATTTCTAGGCAACCTAGGCACACCTTTATTCTCAGCACTCAGGAGGCAGAGGGAGGCAGATCTCTGTGGGTTTGAGGCTGTCCTGGCTTATAGAATAAGTTCCAGGACATCCAGGAGTACACAGAGAAACCTTGTCTCAAGAAAAAAATAGAGAAAAAGAGAAAGAAAGAAAGAAAGAAAGAAAGAAAGAAAAAAGAAAGATTTTTTGAACATGAGATCAAAAGAAGAAAAATAAAAATAATTTTTTAATAAAGAATTTCTTTTTCAATCAAACTGAAGCTATGAATAAAGCAATGTTGGAAACAGTAAGTAATGAATAAATGTTAAATTTGCAGGTATGCAGGGCTCCTCAGAGAAAGTGGGAGTCTTTGGAAGAAACACAGTGAAAAGCAGAGGAAGCAGAAGCAGAAACTGTCACTGTTTAGTCATACACACACACACACACACACACACACACACATGCATGTGCACACACATCAGATTATAGTTATATGGTATAAAGAAGTAACATGAGGAACTTGCGAGGAATGGAGGTAAGCTTGAAAGCTTGTGGCTTCGGACTTTTCCCTAAATTCAGATAAACTGTGAGAGAAAGAAGTGTTTGGGGATCATTTTTTCTATTGGCTGTTCGTAGTACACACTTGAAAGATCAAGGATTGAACTTACTATAAGGAGGACAACATTAGACTAACATACAACCCCAAAGTTTATGAACTAAAATAACCCGAAGAGTTGAGTTTGGGAAACAGAATAGTAGATGTTCCTTCGGAATGTTGTAATAAATTGTAGGCTAAGGTAAGATATTCAGTTGAGTGTTGCAAAGGTGAATCTGAATGAGCAATAAGGCGGTTGTGGGATTTGGGAAGGACCTCTTTTGCTTCTCTGACACTTTAAAAAATTGAACTAAACTAATGGTGAAGTGGGAACTATAGTAGAGGATGTTGTATATGATGAGTGCCAATAATGAATTATTTAAGTCTAGAATCTTAAGATATCATACTCCATTTAGGTGGTAGGTAGGTTATGCTTGCAAACCTTAGAACTTGGAGGCTAAGGCAGAAGGAGCTCCATGAACTGCTGGACAGCCTAGATTACAAATTGAAATCCTATCTCAAAATGAAACAAAACAAAAATAAGGTATCTATGGAATTCAAGAAAAGACAGGAGAAGAGAATCAAGACATATCCCTACAAAAATGCCAACACAACAAAAGAAAGCAGCAGGGAGGGGAGAGGAGTTCCAGCTTGCTCTGAAATCAGCAATGGCAGAGGTAACTTTATTGTTAAAAATCATTCCTACCTCTTTAACCAAAAGTCATAAATCAAGTGAATGGATAAAAAGTCTAGACCCAAGCATTGGCTGTCTTCAACACTCCCTTCAGATCTAAAGAGAGACAGGAGCTAAAAACAATAGACCAAGAGAAGCAGTATCTTGAAAATGACGGCTTATGACAAAAGGCATCGTGGTATCAGAGAAGACAGACTTCGAAATACATACACCATACAACGATAAAAGGGTCAATTTAATTCAGAAGGATCATGTTGGTTAAAATAAAAACAACATTCATAATTAATGAGTAAATATTATCACTCATAATAATTGTATTTATGCATCAAATCTTTGAAGTATATTAAGCAAATTATGATACAACTGAAAGGGAGTGATCAAAATACAAGAAATAGTAGCTGTTTTCAATAATGGATTTATAAATAGAGAGTTGAGAAACAATACAGAACAACAAAACATAACTAAAACATTTAGAATATCCAGCAAAGCAGAATGTACATGCTTCTTAGTGTCTATAAAAATGTTTCCAGGACAGATCATCTTTAAATCAATATTTTACTTGGTAAGCAAGTCTTAACAAAGAAAGGAAGATTTGAATTACCAAAGTATGCATTCTGATTATAGTGGAAGTAAATGAACAGCACAAGAAAAGTTAGAAAATTTCTATCTCAAGTTGATCTATAAATAAGTAACTCAGAAAGACAGAGAAAGAAAAATAAGGGAGAATGGAATTTGGCAAACATGGATCAAAGCACCAGAAACACAGACTATACTGGGATCTGAGCCTGTGTTCCTGGCATAGGCCATGCTAGTCTGGATTGCACATAACACATTGTCATCAGTAACTGCACACTGGGAAAAGTCACTCAAGTGTTGAAAGTCACGCAGTCAACTAAAACAAGAGCAATAAGAAGAAGAGAAGGTGGTGAATGGGAAAAACAAGCAAGTAAGCAAGCAAAAACCAAAACAAACAAACAACTGAACAAACCAAAAACCCAAGCCTGCTGGAAAGCCCTGGAGAGTGACAGACAGGTTGACTGCAAGGATGACTCCCAGGCCAATGAGTTATGTTATTTCAACACACACACACACACACACACACACACACACACACACACACACACAC